ACTTCGCCAATTCAAGTCTAAATCTAATCCGAACCTCCAAAACTCATTTCGATCGCGTTCCTAAATCACAAATCACCTCCCGAAGATAACCGAACCATTGGAACTCACATCTGAACCACCTAAGACATAAGTCAACATTCGGTTGACTTTTCCAACTTAAACTCACTATAAAGAGACTAAGTATCTCAAACCTTGCCAAATCCTTTCTGAACTCGGTCTGACCAACTTGATACCACATAAAATGGATAAATAAAGCATAACAAAGCAAAAATAGGGAAAACAGAGCGGTAACTCATGAGAGGACTGGCCGGGTCATCACAGTTGGCCTTCGCGAACGCGAGCGTCGTGTCGCGAATGCAATGAAGAAATTTTGGGGTGAAACAGGTTTTTCTTTGCGAATGCGAGGGCATTTTCGCATTGCGAAGAAGGGCAGTGCTTGGCAATGACTTGTTTTAAGACGGGATTTGGCCCATTTTTTTATTTTTCTCTTGGCTTGGGCAATTCTTGGAGGATTTCAAGAGGGGGTTTCATCATTCAATGGCAAGGTAAGTTATCCCCACTTAATAGGAGTTAAATACGTTGATTATGTATAGATTTTCGCATGGAAATTAGTGAAAATTTGGGGGTTTTGAGGAAGACTTAGAAATTTGGTATTCTTGAATTTTAACCACGAAATTTGTTAGGGAATGAAGTAAAAATCATATATTCTTGATCCTTAGGTTATGGGTAAAACTTTTCTTCAAAATTTTCTGGAATCTAGGCACGTGGGCCCGGGGATGAAGTTTAGGAACCTTGCATTTAGGGTTGGGAAATTGGTTTAATAATTAGAATATGAACTTTTGAGTATGTATTGACTAGTTCTTACCCTATTTGAATAGTTTTGGATCGTTCGGCTCCAAATTGGGGGTTTGAGCGCGTTCTTGAATCGGAATATAGGCTTCGGAGCAAGGTGAGTCTCCTTTCTAACCTTGTAAGAAGGAATTGTCCCCATATGTGATATTATTGGTTATGTGCTCCTATTTGTGGGGTCTATGTATGCTCGAGGTGACGAGAGTCCATGCGTAGCTACTATTATGTGTAATGTCCGAGTAGTCTAGGACCTAAAAGCATGCTATACTTGGAATATCTGTAATCTTGTTGGCAGTTGAATTGCTTAAATCTTATCGCATTGGTAAATGAATTTCTAAAAGGAATTAAACTTCATTTTCTTAAATCTCTAAAAGAGAATTGGCTTTTATTTGGATAAACGTTCCTCGATAAATTTTTAATTTCTTGTTTGAGCATGTATTTCTATGTGTACCTGTGTTGCATGTATGATTCGAGAGCAGGGTAATAGATGCATCTATGGTTCGCGCTGTTCGACCCTTGGCAGTGCACATTTTACATTTATGTTGGATCGGGCCGTACGACCTCGGCATGATATGCGCATGCTTGAATTGTTGCTCAAGATTTATAAATGTTGACATTTGCCTTTCCTGGCCGAAGATAAATTGATAAAGATAATGAAAAGTAAATCTTTGAAAATCTATTATTATTTGGGAAGTTGTTTACCTGTTATCTGGCTTTATGAATTATAATTGTTGTTTTATAAAATGCCCTAGTCTCCTCACATATTTACTATATTATCATTGGACCACTAGTAAGTGTTGAAGTCAACCTTTCCTCTCTACTTCTTCAAGATTAGACGGGATACTCATTGGGTACGCGTTGTTTTCGTACTCATACTACACTTGCTGTGTATTTTTGTTGCACAGGCACATGCATCTCTAGTGTCCTACTGGGCGTAGCAGCATGATTGATATGGAGACTTAAGTAAGCTGCACTTCTCAAGATGACCTGCAGCCAGCAGAGTCTCTTTCGAATTTATGTATTTACTTTCTGTCAAATATTGTATTCTGGATGGTTGTTGTATTACATTATTTCCTAGAAATTGCTCATGCACTTGTGACACCGGGTTCTAGGATGATCATGGGATTTTTCAGTAGTTAAATTTTGTAAAGACATCCTCATTTATCCAGCGGGGTTTATTATTTATTATTTATTGTTTAAAAGAAAATGATTTCAAAATAATTAAAATGAGAAATTGCTAGTAAATTGTAGTTGGCTTGCCTGACAGTAGTGTCTGATGACCCTTAGTGGATTTTGGGTCGTGACACTTTAAGTCTTCCTCCATATCGGATAAATTTATTATGAACTTACTAAGTATAATTACTAGTAGTTGATAACATGTATTGACTCTCCATTTGAGTTTACACGTTGAATCAATTTTGTAATTATAATGCAACCATGATTAAGTGGTGATAGAAATATATTTTTATGGTTTTCACCTTAAATTATAACTGAGTGTAAGTTTATGTATCGACTTTAGGTCTTTCTCCATATCGGATAAATTTATTGTAAGCTTACTAAGTGAAAAATAGGTATTGATATCATGTACTTACTCTCCATGTGAGTATACATGTTGGATCAATGGAACTAGAGCAATTAATTATGATGTTCACTTGACTTAAATTAACAGTATACTCTCTATCTGAGTTGGGTCTGTTTTAATTTATTAGAGTGAATAATATGGCATTACATATGTATGTTGCATGAGTATTTCTTTTCCCATCAAAATTTTCTATTCGGGATGCATAAATACATATATGTGTGTAGCGTGTTTGACATTTTAATATTAAATGGTTATATACAATTGTTTGAAAATAACAGTATATTCTCCATCTGAACTGGTTCTGCTTTCTTTCTAGGTTGTATAATTTTTGTATTATATAATATACTTTGCATGAATGATTATTTTCCCATGGAAATTTGTTATTCGAGATGCATGTATGTGTATATATATATATTGAATGCAGTCTGAATTTTATTATTTAGTGTTTGGACTTATTATGATCTATTTAAAGTTTTATCTCAGCTCCATAATGACTTTATGCAATTTGTCATATTACTTATTAAAATTTTCTTTTGATAGTGATAAGACGTCAATTTAAAGAATGCAATATATGTTCCTTTTGTTAGAAGGAATCTAATTCCAATTTCTGATCAAAGCAAGAGATGGATATTTATTTTATTTTTCGAATAACTCTTGAGTTATTGAGTTTGATAAATTTTATCTCTTGTGGTACATGAATGCATGACCTTGTTGTTGTATATAATGTCTTTCCTGAATAGAACAATATTAGTTTACCTTATAAGAGAATATGTTCTTCGAAATTGAGTAAAACTTATCTGTGCACTTTTATCTAAGTCATATTGATATGGATAAGATTTCAAGTTGGTCAACCTTAAGGTTCATTGAAAGAAGAGGCACTACTAACTTGTGGATCCCGTTTGGAAGGAAATTTGACTAAGGGATGTTTCCCTTCAAAAGGAAATAAAGCTAGTGCTAAGCTAGAATGAATCCCTTCTGATTTGTATAGTTAAAAGAACATGCTGGTAAGAGATTATTTTGAGTAATTTTGTGACGTTCATAAATGATTACTCAAAATATTAATATATTTATTTGATACACCGTAAGTCTTAATGATTTACATAATTCAAGGTTTTTAAGACATGAAACAGAGAAGCACCAAGGAAATATATTAAGTAACTGCAATTTGATTGTAGTGGTGAGCACATATATAAAAAGTTCTTTTGTTACTTATCAGAATAAGGGATTACATCTCAATTGTCTACACCGTAAATTCCATAATAGAGTAGTGTGGTAGAAAGAAGAAATAAGTCTCTTTGAGGCACGGATAGATTAATAAAGTGTTATTCAGTTTTGCCTTATTCGTTTTTGGAATATTTCCTATAAACTGCAAATTACATTCTGAATTTAGTTTCTTCTAAGTTAGTACTTGTGAGATCTGTAGAACTGTGGACTGAATGTAAACTCAGCATGTAGCATGTTCAAATATAGGATTGTCCAGCACATATGCTGAAAGGCAAAGCAAGTATGTTAGTTGGAACTAAGAATGTATAGGTGCATGTTTATTAAATATCCAAGAAAAAAATGGAGTTTATTTTATTGTCCTAAAGAAAATAAGACAATTGTTAAAACAAATGTTTTTTTTCTAGATAAGGACTGTTCAATAAACCATATTCCTAAAAGTAAACTAATTTTACAGGAACTAGGCAAAAAAATAATTACATGTGCAACAACATCAAAACCCACATCGAAATTGATGTTCCATTACATTTAAGTAGTGAGAGAACGTTAATAGACAAAATATGCCATTGTCGAGTGGGAGTGATGTTTGAACGGTGAACACTTAATTAAGAAGTAGCTAATATTTCAATACAGTAAGGTAATGAAGGTAATATTAGTAGTACTTCGTCTTAGTGGGAGAATACTAAGGAAAATCATAGTTCGGTGTACACTCTTAGGATAGTTTCGGTAACAGGATCCCTAAAGAGTTTAATACCAAACTAGTTAGTTACGACAAAGCACTATTAGACAAAGATTGCAGTTGAAAATAACTTGGCAAGCTCCTTTTAACAAAAGCTTATTGGCAGAGACTTTTAATAGTCGTGCAAAAGGATAGTTGTGAAAGTTCACTACTAGAAAATTGATCTATGGCAACAGTGGCAAAGCCGTAACAATAGATACGAAAACCGTTACCATAGACCTATTGCAACGGTTTAGGGACCGTCACATCCGGTCAAGTAGCAATAGGTCTATCGCAACGGTTGCATAATTGTTGCAATAGGTCCATGTATGGTAATAGTTTTGGACGCTTGCAATAGGTCTATCTATTGTAACGGTTACTTAGTCAACTGGGACGGTTTGAAATCATCTCAATAGCATTTTAGGGAATGGTATTTTCTGCTATAGCAACGGTTTAGATGATATATTGCCACAGTTATTAGTAGTTCACGTGACGGTACCGTCTATTGCAACGGTTATTAAGAGCTAGTGCAACGGTACGTTGGTCTATCGCAATAATTATTTACCTATATAATAAAATATAATATCTTAAAACTTATAAAAATCACAAAGGAAATACTCACCAACAAAATTGGAATCCAACATATTCAACTATTATTATTCATATATAAAGGCAAAATACATAATATTGTTTGACAATTCAAGAGTTAACACATAAGATTGCAAAATAGTTTAAAATACAAGATTCTAGAACATCTTAAAGTCTATCAGTGATCAACCAATACTCTTCAGTAAGGTCTTCACCGCATTCACCTACTCTTGTTCATTTGCTTCACCTACAAAATCATCAAAACTCCAATCTTTACTAGATTTGGTTACATAAAATTAACTAAAAATAAAAGGCAGAGAATAAATTTAATTGAATGCTAAAATATAAATAGTGAGGTCCAGGATAAGCATTGCTCTTGTGGAATAGGGTAGAGTTTCAAACTGAACCAAGCAATATTTCTTCTGGGCAATAAAAGAGTTATTTATTGGAAGTATGCTAAAGTTCTTTTCTTCAATTGCCTGGAATCGAGGGGAAAAATTATCACATGGAATGATGGACAGGGGTATAAATCACCAAAGCATAAATAATATACCATAGATGATCTACAGCTTCCCTTTTTGTTGCAAGATGCTGGTGAATTTCTACAAACAACATAGTCCTACAACTTATAGTCTTACACTATGGCCCATCACCCCGTTGACCAATTCATCCCAGAAACAATTAAACTGCTATATTGAGAAATAGAGATAAGTTGATTGGAACACCTCTCAGGAGGAGGCTTCTTGTTAGTACCTGAAGAAATTAACAAGAAGCTCTATTTTTCAATATAATTTACTGTTTGATTCGAAACGTCATGGTCTAAATATTGAACTACCAACAATCAAAAGTGAAACGTTGACAGAGTTGCATACCCAACAAGAAGGCAGTAAATGAAACAGAAAACATAACATTAGAAACTAGAAAATAAACATCATCAAGAAAAAGAGTCCTCTACAGGGGGAACTATCAGAATTAGCACAACAAGAATAAAGGATTATGCAAATAATTATGATTCAAGAGCACGCATCAGTTTACATTAATAAAATGATTATGGAGCAAGTTGTTCAGACGAAAAGACCAAAAAAGAAGAAGAAGGTATCAGTTTGCCCAAATCCTAGCATGACCTTGATTTCTAGCAACTAGCAATATTAATTTCTGGCATATAACCAAACAATGGTAAGTTCAGGAAGCTATACCATAATATTTTGAACTCAAAACAAAAACAAAAAGGATATGCTATCTGGAGATTTAAAGCACATATTATATAAACACTGATCTATATAGAAAGTCTTTTTCTTAATCTTCATTAGATACACGGCAAAAAGATAAGTCCATTGAAACATAAAAGTGTAAGAACTCCAAACTCATTTATGAAAAACAAAACTTACCACAACAATAATTACATTCAAGTTTCAGTAAATTCTTTACGAAGTTGTTTTGTTTCCAAGTTATAGTACTAAAATTATACATCATATATAAAGCTACCAATGAACTGATATATTATTATCCCTTGAAAAAGAAGAATATAATGCTAAAAAGGAGAGTACATGTGTGTTATGTATCAAATTTCTGCAGATTAGAGAAAATATATTGTCGAACATGTTCAAAAACTTAGTGAATAGTAATAGAGTATATAACTAATGCTATTTATAGTTAGCAAAAAAAAAAAAAAAAAAAAAAAAAAAAAAAAGAGCCAAAGATTATGAATAATAGTAGTTGACGTTTAATTCGACAAACAGAGCCACCAATATAATAGAACATATATATATAGATAGATATAGATAGATATATAGAGAGAGATAGATATATCATTCGAGCATTTCCTCTTGAATGATACATGTAAACCAAAAGCCAAGAATAATATGTCTACTATATATATATATATAGTAGACATATTATTCTTGGCTTCATGCTAAAGAACTATATATATATAGTAGACTATGCTTAAAATATTTTCCTAATACAAAGGCTTTTCAGATACAAAGGCTTTATTCTATAAAGAATAACTAGAAAAATTAATTTTCGCTAATATTCACTTTGTAATATATCTACCTTTAACCTATCCCAGTGGGACTTTAACCTATCCCAGGTTAAAGTTAAGAATTTAACCTATCTTTTCCCAGTGGGACACTTAATGCTCTAGGTCAATATTTTATCACCAACCCTCCTCCAACCTTCTGAAGAAACAAAAAAGGTTATATTGTTCAGAGCTAGGTTATATACTAGGTTATATACTGGTACACTAGAAATATTCAGATTAAACTCATATTGTACTGGTACCAACCCTCCTCCAACTCATCTTATAAAACGGCGCCAAACTCATATTGTTCTGAAGAAACAATACCCTAGTAAATACCCTAGGGTATTCGCTAATACTAGAATCATGTTGAGATTCTATCTAAACTCATATTGTTCTGAATATTATATAGTATCTAAATACCCTAGTAAAATTATAAGAAAAAATTATGAAGAAAAACTCATCAAACCATATCAAACCAACCTTTCATCACCAATCCTCCTCCAAAAATCACTTTGTAAAATATATCCCTATGAATATTGTAGTAGTTCCTACTCCTTTAAGCTTGTAAAATAAATAAAGGCTTAGGTATATGTGTGATCGTCTGTTATTTCTAAAAGTTCAGTAACGTCTTTCGGGTTTCCCGAAAGGGAAATCTCTCTCCTATAAATGTAAGTTACTCATCTTTATTTAAATTATGTTTCTGATAAATATTACCCCAGTTTTTATGTTACTTTATTTATGTTGTTATATATAAGTTTATGTTTGTTCATATGTTAGATTATTTTGATAACACTCTTAGTATATGGTTAGCTTCCCAATTTCTTAACAAATATGATGGATTAACCTGTAAATTCCTAGAAGAAACTGGTTAAGAAAAACCCGAAAATGATTAAAGAAGGGAATAAGTGTTTAACCATGGCCGGGGTGAGGTTAAAGAAATAAAAGTTAAGAAACAAAAAATTTAACCTATCCCAGTGGGACAGGTTATAAAAGGTTTTAAACTTTATCTAGAAAATATAAACCACAATACAATAAAAGATATAATAGAAAAAATTATTATCTTAGAAAATCATCAGCTAGAAAG